CGAAAACCGCTTGTCGGGGGCGCGGTTTTGGACCAAACCGCGGGCCTAGGGGGCGGTTATAAAAAAAAAAAAATTGGGCCAAACCGCCACCTCAACCAGCGGTTTGGTCCAATTTTTTTTTTTTTTCCGACCAACTCCTAACTTCGGTCGAAACTTCAAACGAACGTAATTTTGCACTCGGGTATCCGATCGTAGCAATTGGTTTTTCATTTCGCATAACTTTTCAAGATTTACAACTTTTACTAGGATGAAATTTTCAAAACAGGAACTATTTGTGGATATACGGGACCTTGAGAATAACTTTACCTTTACTTTTCAAAAATTCATGTACATTTTGAAATTATGATTATATTAAAATTTGTAGATCTTGAAAAGTTATGCGGAATAAAAAAAAATTCATGACATTCGGATTTTGGAGCACAAAGTTATGGCCGCCCAAAGTTTGACGAAATAAAAAAAAAGGTCGTTCGGGGTGGCAAATGACGTTTTTTCGAGACGAAGACGGAACCCGACTGTTTGAGACTTGCAAGATCTCAAAAAGTTATTCGGATTCAAAAAATGGAGGCCGCAAACTTTTTGAGATCTTGCAAGCCGCAAACCGCCAGGTCTCGCCTTTCGTCAAACTTTGGGCGGCCATAACTTTGTGCTCCAAACTCCGAATGTTATGAACTTTTTTTTGATTCCGCATAACTTTTCAAGATCTACAACTTTTTATATAATCATAATTTCAAAATGTACATGGATTTCTGAAAAGTAAAGGTAAAGTTATTCTCAAGGTCCCGTATATCCACAAATAGTTCCTGTTTTGAAAATTTCATCCTAGTAAAAGTTGTAGATCTTGAAAACTTATGCGAAATGAAAAAATAAATCGCTACGATCGGATACCCGAGTGCAAAATTCCGTTCGTTTGAAGTTTCGGCCGAAGTTAGGAGTTGGTCGGAAAAAAAAAATTGGACCAAACCGCTGGTTGGGGTGGCGGTTCTGGGCCAAACCGCCACCCCACCCAGCGGTTTGGTCCAAATTTTTTTTTTATGACCGCCCCCTAGGCCCGCGGTTTGGTCCAAAACCGCGCCCCGACAAGCGGTTTTCGACCAAACCGCTGGGTGGGGTGGCGGTTTTTGAAAAAGGGTGGTATTTTTGGAATTTTTTGGGGTTGGGTGGTATTTTTGAAATTTTTTTTTTAAACAGTGGTACTTTTGGATTTTTTCCAAAAATTTATGGGTGATAAAAATACAGGAGAAAAAATATCATACTATACCACCCTAGTATGGGGGGTGGTATCTTGTGGTACACAATGTTGAAAATCATAAATGCAAGTTAGTATACTCATCATACCATCATGTATTCAACCATCCTCAGTCTTTGTATGTTCATACCACCATGGTACGCGTTCATACCATATGATATGCTCTTATTTTAATACCAATCAATACCACCATGGTATAGACTGGTAAAAAATGTCTCAATTTGTTTTGTTCCAAAAATATATCAAAGTGTATATCATTTTCAAGAGCACTATTAATCTAATTTATCTGTGCAAATTTTTTTTTTAATTTCGACTTAAAATGAGAGAAATCGTCCGTTAAAGATGAAAATGGAAAAAATTAAAGACTTTCTATGAGAGAGAGGGTGTGCTGGTATGGTAACTGATGATTGAGTTATGTATAGTTACTGAATACTTTCGTTCTAGACATCATCATGTTTAGAGAATCTGACATGAACTCGTCGATCTCAAGCGACAAAACAAACGAGGAGTCGAGGACATCGAGCTATTAGATAGTAGCTCCTCATTCATCAGTTTTGTTGAGATTCAACCTTTACTCGTGCCCTAGCTAGCTTGTCTAAGAGCTAGATTTAGCTCAAATGTATTTCTCTTTGCCTTCAACTTTCATCAACCAACGACAAACTTAAAGAAACTAGGGGCTGCTTAAGGTCGGACTAAACAATTAGCAGCAGCAGAGGGGACCTAATTATTGAACCACGTCCTTGATTTTGAAACTAAGTTAAGAAATCAAGTATACAGAAGAGAGACACAATCATATATACTTGCCTTGCAGAAATCATTATATCCAACCGCCCTTAGTTAGCAACTGTATTCATTCATTATATATCCTTCTTTTCTAACCTTTTCATCGTAAGAATTCGCTATGGCCATTTCGTCGTTTTCCTTCCACTAATGACTTGGGCTCTTTATCTTGTTATTATTATCACTGTTTGGTTTCCTAGTTGGTTTCTTTTGTTACAATGGACAAAGCAGCAGCCAAAGCCAAGATTTCTTGCTGCAAATATGTCTGAATGGACCACAAACAATTTCGCCAGGAAGGGGCTCCAGCTATAATCAAGTTCTTGTTATTGGCTTATGCAGTCTGCCTACCTTGTTTTTACCTAATCAATCAACTATCATTGTACCTGATACTATGATGATCAGCATGTAAAATCATATTATTATCATCGTAAATGTGTTTTTTTTCTTATTTATTTTATTGCCTTCTTCTTTACTCTCGAAGAAAATCCAGAATTTCAGGTCAGTGTAGTTTAAAAACAATTATTTTTACTAGTTTTTCAAAATTGAATTTGGGTATTGAAAGAGTTGCGGCTAATTACACACTAGTATTTTATTAGTTTTCAATGTTTTCTCAATAAAATACATAGACTTATATAACCCAAAACTGATAATACTGAGGGGGTCGTCGCCTTCTCCAACTACATATCTAGGTACGCTTATATTTTCATGTTTATTTCTTTAGGTCTTTTTTTTTTTTTGACAACATATTTCTTTAGTTCTATACTCGTGTTTTGTTAAATTTTTCGTTCTATATGTGGTAGTTAGCATGTTACATATCATAACCATATACGAAAGTAAATTAAATTATGTATTATAACTTAGTTAATCTTACGTAATAAATTAAAGAGCATACATATTAATTAGGCTTAATTTTCCAAATTGATCTTGACAATAAATATATAATGTGTACTTTTTTTTATCAAGGTCAGTAGGTCACCCATCATAAAAAATAATAATAATAAATAGACACTAACATTTTTTCCCCTTTTCGGTTTGTATATGACAAACCTCGTAACTTGAAAACATTTTACAATCCAAGTTTCGGTTACAATGCCATCCGCAATTAGGGAAAGTGGCATTAACTATGTATAATCAAATAACCAATAATCACAAGCAGACAAGACACAATCATACTTCCTCCTACTCATCTGAGTCGCACCAATTAGCATCGAACCCATCATATCTCTGTACAGTGAGAATATACATACCCATCATTGTTTCCTCCTCCAACCTCAGAACTTAATCCAAAAGTCATCCTTTTGGTTAGCACCAAATATTATGAAATGAGCAAACACCTAGGCAAGAGATGAATGCACTCAATTTAAGCATGTCCAAAGAGAATTCAAATACATAAATTAAAAAAAGGTAAGAGTTAGGTGTCAAAATCTTGCACAATCATCGATAGAGGTAGTCAAAGTGATAAGGTATAAGCTAGGGTAGTTATTTGGTCCGGACTTTTTGGTTTTACTTGAAACCGGATCGTATTACTCGGATTGAAACCGGACCGAAACTGGATAGCAAGCAATCCAATCCCATCTTTGGGTTTAGATTTGAGGTAAAAAAACCATTCGGGACCGGACTGAAAACCGGATAAAGACCGAATAAGAGAGCCCTACACCAAAAATTTGACCAACTCCCCACCTTGTAAGGCCTCAAGCCACTCAAATCTCCACAAGCTCAATCTAAAATCAAGACCAAATTGGGACCGGAGTGTATCCAATCCAATCTTTGGTTCTTATATTTGTGAAAAGATCAGATCGGGACCGGAACAATTCAGACCAATTTAACCGGACCGGACCGTATAGTCACCCCTAGTATAAGCATTGATGCTGAGTGTTTGTAGTTTGATTCCTCAGCTAGCCAAAACTCCAGAGTTTTGGTGGCTACCTAGGCAAGAGATGAATGCGCTCAAATCACGTTTCGATTATAGTCGTAATAGAATTATATCTTTGATAATTTTTCCAAATTAAGTACAGAGCATATATTATGTGAAATAGTAAATGAACATGTTTGATAAAAATACATAGTAAAAATATATTATATCCTGATAAAAAGAAACCAACAGTCAGACAACAAGTTTGTCAAACCGGATTAAACCAATTTAGCGAGTATGGTTTATGGTTTGAGGGGTCGAATGATCAGATTCAACTAGTTTAAGCCCATTTTAATAGAATAGGTGAGAAAATCTTTGATATAAAATAAATTATGCATATATTTGACATATTTTAAAAAATCTTATTAAAATATACTCATATATTACCAAATTATTTCTTTAAAAAAAATATTACTGGATAATCGATCTTCCTCTTCAAACCAAATCACACTAGCTAATTTTAGGTGGTTTTATCTAGTTTGGACTTCTTTCATGAACCATCAAAGTAGAATGCATTCCAACTGCGCTAATTAAGAGATTCATTTTCGAACGAACCAGATTGAACCCAACATCAAAATAACGGTTTGACAACCTTGCTCTCGAGTAGAATGATTTGTCCACATGCATAGCTCAGCTCCTTTTCTCTTCCTAGCCTTTTTGTGAATCCTCAAGCTAGCTAGCTAGCTAGCTAGGCTTTTATATATCTCCTCCCTAACCAAACCAAGCAAACGACATGCACATATCATAGCGTTACACTTCCCGGAGACCCAACCTGCCAACCATTTCATAATAACAATCACACCATCAAAAGAAAAACAAACCACAGAATCCAATCCATCTTCTCGCCAAATCATGCCTCGAAACTCGAGCTTCCCTATACAAATAAACTCCACCACCACCACCACCACAGCTACTCGCAGTGTTGATGATCATCGACACAAGAACGGCCGCAGCAGCAGCAGCAGCAGCAGAATCAAACAACAACAGCAGCAAAGGTTTCCCCGTCGTCATCGCAGGCCGAGTTTCGACGACGACGTTTCGTCATCCTCGAACCTATCGGCGATGAAGATATTCAACCGGTTCCGGAAACTTCTCGTCCGCCTCCTCTTCTCCGTCGGCGAGAAGAAAGGGGGCGACAATTATCCGGCGGCGGCGGCGGCGGGAGAGAGGGCTGACCCGCCCAAGACCTCTTGTAGCTCTTATTACTCGACCCAGCTGCATTACAGCGAGGCCATTGCCGACTGCATCGAGTTCTTGAATAAGGCTGCTGGTTCGCCCGACGGGCCGGCGGCCGGTTCGATCGATCACCCTGATGTTTGGGTTTGATTCTATATATGCATTATTATTATTATTAGTATCAGAATGATCTTGGCTTCATGACCGTTTTGATCCATCGGACATGTCATCTTGTATGGCCTGAGAAATCTGTCCTTCTGTTTTTGCTTTCTTGTTTGTTTTGGCTTTGGCTTTATCTGGCGTCTGTGAATCTGCCACACTACGTTTATCAAAAACTTCTTATTCAAATGCGATTGTGTAGCCGGGATCTGATGTGCAGGAAAAAAAGTTAAATTCGTTTGAATCGACTCCAACAAATTTGATCTAATGGTAATGTCACTGCACGAGTCCGAAAAATAAAAATTTCGAATCCTTAATCCGCAAAAATAGGAAATACCGAATTGAAATACAAATAAATGAATGACCTCATAGCCTCGGGACCAGCCTGCTGCGACTGCAACAAATTTGATCTAATGGTAATGTCACCACATGCATCGAGTCTACATTTCATTTCAGACTAAAAATAAAAATTTCGAATCCTTAATCCGCAAATACCGAATCGAAATAAAAACAAATGAATGACCTCATAGCCTTGGGACCAGCCTGCCAACGCTCCTCCTCATATCACCTTCTTCTTCTGCTTCAGCTTGCTTAATAATCTCCCCTTCGCCACATTCCAACTCAAGAAGCCTCAGCATGATATCGGTATCAATATGGCAGCCATGCACGTTATCTTTACGAGCACCGAGTTGGAACCGGCCAGTCGGCATGTTCCAGACCGTCCTCACCTCTGCTGCTTCGTTAGGCATGGCAACGTTCAATCTGCTATATCCATCTGCCTTCATCTTCAGCTCCTGCAGCTGCTCACAGGCCACCTCCTTCACACGCATCATGCTCTTCTCGTCCACCGTCCCCATGACCATAGCCATACCCATCTTCCTGCCGTCGTTGCCCGTCCCACCACCAGACGACGACGGCGCCAGTGCTTCGGGCGATGTCATCTCCCTGACCAACACCATTTCCACCTCACTCAGTCCTTCCACATTGCGGTGGACAACGACCACGAAGGGCTTGTCCACGAACACGGACTTCACGTTGCGGAACAGTGCGGCCTGCCGCCTCACGTCGTCCGACAGGTCCAGGAAGAACAGGACGCAGGCGCACCGGAGACGCGCCAGGGCCGATGTCGTCTTCAGGTCGATCGACGCCACCGTATTTATCACCTGGTCCATGCCCGCCACGCGAGCCACATAGAAAGCGTGCCAGTAGTCGACATGATCACCTCCAGCCATCTGCCGCATGAACGACCTCTTCGCGTCGTTGGGGGAGCCGACGAGCACCATCGTCGGGGCGTCGGGGTCGATGGAGGGGAGCCCCGCCATGTGCAGCCTGGTCTCCTCGAGATACGCCAGACTCGGCCCCAGCCTCCTGACCACGGTGCACATCCGGCCCACGGCGGAAACGCACAACGACCTGCACGTGCGAAGCGGCGTGGGAGCGCCGCCAACTCCGCAGTACTCCGTCATGAACTTGAGGTGCTCCTCGGATATGTCGGCGATGAGGAGCCTGGCGTTGTTGATGCGGGCGAGGGCGACGTCGTAGCGATCCTCGGCGCGGAGGAGGCCGGCGTAGAGAGGGTGGATGTAGTTCAGGCGGGGGAAGTCGTGTGCGATTTTGGAGAGCTTGCTGCTGAAGTATAGGTGTGCGTGCTTCACCTTTCGCACGTAGGACTGGCGGAGGAGGAGGGAAGGAGGGAGCGATTCCGTGTGGAGGAAGGTAGGTGTCCGGCGTTGTTGCTCGGAGAATAAGCTGTCGATCAGGTCTTTCTCATTGGGGACGGCAGCGATCTTCTTGAAGATGTTGGGTTCAACCACCATTGGGAGAGCTTTGCCGGTCATCTGTAGAATGGGTAGATAGTATTAGTTGAATTAACAAGCGCGTCAACAAAGAATAATAATGAAAAGCATGCCCTAGCTAGCAAGGGCGTTAATCAGATAGATATTAACAAAGAATCAAACGATACTTAAATGCAACCAGATCGGATGGATAGCATGCAAATTAATTAATTAAGCAAAGAGATTTTCGATAACCTGTAACGATTAATACGTACAGACAACAACTATGTACAGAGGAATCTGCTTTGCTTTGTAGAGAGAGAGAGAGAGGAACTTACCTTTGGTGGAGAAAGTAAACGTACGCTAGCGCCTAGCGGCAGCTGTTTTCTCTTCTCTAGGGTTTAAGAGATTAGGAAGATTCAAGCCGGACTTGTATATATGCAGTTTGTTTTAGGGTTTGCAGCCTCCAGACTTATTTTGTTAACTCGGCCTGCCCGCCTTCAGTTATATATACCCGGCGGATTTTACTATTAGGGTTAATTAGTTTAATTTTGTGCCGACGTAGAAGTTAAATGGGAATAAAACTTAGGCTTAGGCTTGGCAATGGGGCGGATCGGGGGCTCAAGTTAGGGTGCACAACCCATGGTTAGGGGTGGGCATTGGGTGGGTCGGGTGGATTTTGACCATAAAATGCACCCACCCGCGCTTAAACGGATTGACAATTTTTAATCCACCACCCACCCACATTTAGTCTCGGGTTGGGTCGGGCGGATGGTGGATGATGCGGGTGGGTTTGTGGGTTCACCCACATCACAATGTATATAATATAAAGGAATCAACTTGACATGATAATAGGCGAAGAGAATCATCGAGGGAAACAAGAAGTTGAAATAGGGCGAAAAATGTCGAATTAGTTCTTAAATTGGATAGAAATTCTATTATGAAAGAGTTTTCTACATATTGAGATGATTATTAGGTGCAAGGAACTAAGGAAAATAATTCCACAAAGGAAAGAGCGGTGATCTAGACACAAGAATTAGAGGAAAAAGTAAAGGGAAGAAGAGGGGATCTCTATTTGGAAGGTTGGCTTTGAGGTTCAAACTCGAGGAGCAGTCCGAGTTTATATCTAACGTCTCCACTCTCCTCTCTCTAGCGCCAACGACTTTGATCTTTTTGTTGTTGGGTTGAGCGGTCACCCGCACACTCACTTACAACCCACCCACCATCCGACGGATGGCTCCCAGCGCAACCCGTCACCCACCCACAGACCCACCCACTTAACGAAATTCGGGTCAAATGCGGGTGGGTCGGCCCAAACCCGCGGATGATCCGCCCGCATGCCCAGCCCTACCCATGGTTATGCAACCATCAATAACCAAATCTGGACACTTTATTTAGAAAATCCAGATCTAAGGGTGGAGAATTAAAGGTTATTTTTATTTTCACTAGCTTTCTTAATTGACTCGTATCTTTTTCGTTTTAACTCGGATTTTAATTTTTTTTTGCACAGATGGAACGAGTTCATCGTGCTCTACAAAATGAGATCAATTTTCAAAAAAAAATTAGGGAAAAAAAATTCTGGCCTCTCGGTACCAACTGCATACCATATGGTATCTTCTTAGTTTTTAATTCGTTTTTGAAAACGTTTGCACAGCAAGGACGAGTTCATCATGATCTATTGGATCTACAAATTTCTGGGTGAACAAATTACAAGACAAAAAAATACCACACAATACCATACAATACCACCCTGGTACGGGGTGGTATCTAATGGTATCTTATGGTATACAATGTTAAAAGTCATAAATGATAATTAATATACTTCTACTATCATGTATTCAACCATCCTACAGTTTTGGTTTGTATCATACCACCATGGTACGCTTTTCAAACCATAGGTATGCTCTTATTTCAATACCAGTCAATACCATATGGTATAGACTGGTATAAAATGGCTCAATTTTTTTTGTTCGAAAAATATATCAAAGTGGATATCATTTTGAAGAGCAAAATTAATCTGATCTAACTGTGCAAAAAAAATTAAATTTCGACTTAAAACGAGTGAGAAATCGTCCGTCAAAGATTAAGGAGGAAAAAATTAAAGGCTTTCCAGGAGAGAGAGAATGCTGATGTGGGCGGGTTACTCATAGTTACTCACCATAAGTTTACTGACCTGATCCGTTCCCGGATCGGGGGCGGGTAGCTAGTTCCCGTTACCCATCCGTTAAGGCCAACGGATTTCCCCGTCCCCGTCCACGTCCCTTTGTCGGGGCGCGTTTGGTTTTCGTCACCGTCCCCAGACGGGTTCGGGTAAACCACGGATCCTGAGAAAAATAAAAAGAAAAGGAAAAAATTAACAAAAAATCCCTGAAATTCAAACTTCAAAGTACCTTGATGTTCAAGGCACATAAATTCAAAACACAAAAGGAAGATCTGGGGCTGTAACCCTCCCACCACCCAACACCCAGATCTTCATTGTTCAAACAATGAAACAAAAGTGATAGGTTGTAGCAACCAAACAAGCTGCTGCAACCAAAACCCACCACCCAAAACCCATATAACATATTCTTCACTACACTAGTGTTCAAGTTCAAAAGGAAGAGATACAAAAACAAAGGCAGACAGCCACAATAACATCATCCATAAATCGAACTAAAACCTATACTAATAGCACACACGAGTTCCTTTTATCTTTTCTTCCAAAAAGCAAGCAACACTATGCTGTTGGAAACCAACTCAACAACAGCATTCATCCTTGAAAAATGAAAAGCAATCACTGCAAGAAACAGAGTAGCAAACACAGTTAGATAAGTGAAAGTCACTTTTAAATTGAACAAGTTAAAAAGCCTCAAGTCTGGCTCAATACCTTGAACCTTTCATTGCTTTCAACAAATCAGTCGTCTAGGGATATTAGATGCTTCTTCATCACAAGTCCCCCTTGAACTGCAAGAATAAAAAAATACAGTTAGAGATTGAAACTATCAAACTAAGTACCAATCTAAATTGAACTAATTACACAGAAGCCAAAATCGAGAACCAACTATCTTAGCAGCTTCGTCTTGATCTTCAGTACTGGAATATGAAATTGCTAGAGCAGAGAACACCCTTCCATTGCCTCTACAGCAGCCTTCGATGATTCTGCAGATTGAAGAAAACAATGAAAAAGACAATTAATATTCAATCCAGTTAACATTTTAATGAAAAAGACAAGTAATTGCATATTACCTTGTTGCATTTCCTCCATAATCCAACTTCTGGTACACAACATTGCCTCTATTGTATCATAGTGCAATCTACTCCGATGAGGGTCTATTAACCTCCCACCAGAGCTAAAAGCAGATTCAGAAGCCACTGATGTAATTGGTATGGCCAAGAAATCCCTTGCAATTGCTTGCAAAGTGGGGTACTTAAGGCCACTCAGTTTCCACCACATCAGTATATCAAAGTCAGGAGACCTTTTAGGAATCAGTTCCTCAAGAAGATAGTGATCCAGTTCAGTATGGACCAGAGTTGCTTTGCTTTTTTTCCTCTGACTCACAAACAGTTCAAAATCAAGATCATCATTTGCAGGAGTAGAAGAACTATCATAAGCAGTTGAAGAACCAGAATTGTTCTTCTCGGACTTGGTTAGGTAATCAAGCACCAAACCACAAATACATTGCTTAATCTTATCAGCCACCAAGTCAGTATTAGTACTGCCAAACTTAGCAGCATAATACTCAATCACATGCAACTTGTATCTAGGATCAAGAACCACTAGCACAACGAGAACCAAGGGTATATCATCCCAATACTTAGAAAATTTCTCCCACATACTCTCAGCCATAGCCGAGATAAGAGAATTGGTATCAGCACACCATTCCAACAATTTCAGTCTCAAATCACAAACCTTGGGGAAAAACAAATTAGCAGTGGGATACTTGCTGCCAGAAAACAACTTTGTGATCTCACTGAAAATTTCCAGCTTATCAATGACCATAGCAGCAAACTCCCAGTGCATACTAGTAGGGACAGTGGTGTATTGACTATCCCACTGTCTCATACGAGGGAAAACATCTCTATACACAATGGCAGTAGATAGCATATCATAGGTGGAGTTCCACCTAGTTGGACAATCAAGCACAAGTTGCTTCTCACAAGGCACTTTAAGCTGCTTAGCAGTTTCAAAGAAGGTTTGTACCCTCTTAGGAGTGGACTTCCAGTACACAACACTATCTCTAACCAATTCAATGCCATTCTTGATGACTTCCAACCCATCTTTCACAATGAGATTCAAAACATGAGCAGAACATCTCATTTGAACCAGCACACCATCCAACAACAGATCATCAATAGCAAGTTTAGTTTTCATATGAGTAATCATGGCATCATTGGTGGTACAGTTATCCAAGGTAATCGAGGACAACTTTCTATCAAGATTCCAACCAAGCAAACACTTGAACAACCTATCTCCCAACCTCTTACTAGTATGAGGGGCAGGGACATAGATAAAACTCAACATCATGTTTTTAAGTTTTCAAGAATTGTCAATAAAATGACTAGTAACCGCCATATACCCCATCTTTTGGTTAGTTGCAGTCCACATATCAGTTGTGACTGCAACTCTACCAATATTACCATCTAAAACCTTCTGAAGCTTTGCCATCTCAGCCCCATATAAAGCAAATATGTCCCTCTTCACTGTATTTCTACAAGGGACAGTGAACTGGGGTTGCAAAGAACAACATAAACGTTTAAACCCCACGTGTTCAACAATGTTCAGGGGATACTCATGCACCTACTCATAGAGCACAATTCCTTCCTAGACACATCAGAATTGAATTGAGTAGCAGATAGGAGGGGTTTTCCAGTTGGTTTATAATCAGGACCAAGAACTCTCTGCCTACCATCATGTATCTTTCTTTGGGTGCAAGTTTTGTAATGGTTCCTCAAGTGGGAGGTTCCATTACTAGTATCACCACCTAAACGTTTTCGACAGTATTTACACTTGGCTTTAATCTCCCCATTAAACTTCAACCTCACAAAATGTGGCCAAACATCAGAAGTCAATTTACGATCTTCATCCAGAATTATTTCAACATTTTCATTTCCATTAGTCAACGCATCATTCTCAGAACCATTAGCAGTAGCAGTAGCATTACCATTAACATTACCATTGCCATTACCATTACCATTATCATTACCGTTTTGATTAGAAGGCACAGTAGGATCATTCGCATTCAAAGCACAATTTTCAGTAGCACCATCCATCTACATAAACAATTAAATAATTGCATTCAATCAATCAACCATAACTACCTAGACAAATCACACAACACACAATACAAATTACAATCGAGAGTTGAATTGGACCAAGGTTATGCCTAACCTGTAATCTGGAGAGGGAGACTCTGTTCACCAGACTGCAGATGGTGAGCACTGAGCTGATGCCTAATGCGAAGCTAAAGAACTCCCAAACAAAGCCAGAACAAACAAAATAAAATTAGCATGCATCGACTGATAAAGACAGCTCATGAATCTGGAAAAATAAAGGTATAAGTTTGTGCTTACCTCGACTATGCTCTGAGCAGAGTGTAGGTAATGAGTTTAAGGAAGAAGTTAGGCTGACCAGTGACCTGAAATTAATCGAGGGGTTAATTTATATACGAGAAGAAGGAAGAAGGCAAGAAAGTGCAGCAGAATACGAAAGGAAAAGGGAGAAAGAACTTATCTCGCTCGATGTGCGATATCACGCTGATTTCCCCCAATAGCTGCAAATCGAAGATTGCAGCGGGCAATTTAGGGCTCTGCATGCTGTTTCCCGATGAAATCGCCGGCAAAACTAGCATCCAATTGGCCAAATTGAGAGATAATGATTGCCTACTGGCAATCATAATTGTATAAACAACCTGGATTGGGAGGAAATCGTGGGGAACAGTGAGATTTTTGAGCGGATTAGATGTTTGGGAGATTCGATGGAGAGAAAGAAGCTAGGGTTTTGGGAGGTTCTCGAAGAGGAAGATGAGAGGAATGGGAGCAGTCGTTTGGGACGGAGAGTGGAAAATGAAGATTAGGGTTTACAGTCTGCTTTGTTTGGTTTATATACGATGTCTAAAACGACGTCGTTTTATGATTCGGGGCGGGGGCGGGGCGGATACCACTAATACCGTCGCCACCCATCGCCCGCAACTCACGGGTCTCGGGTAAACCCGAATCCGCCAAAAGCCCACAACGGACGGTTTTTTAGGTCAAAATTCGGGCGGGTTTCGGGTGGATACCCGATGGGTCGGTCAGGGTTGCCAACCCTACTTAGGCTAGCTAAGGTTTGTTGGGCCCAAACTAGCTAGCCCCGTCTCCGATATGGGCAATAAGAAGGGAAAGCGGAAAAACCCAGGACAACAAAACCGCCGCTAATTATAACGACGCCGGCAGCGGTACTGATCGGATCTCGGAACTACCCGTCGAAATCATCCACACCATCCTCAACCTCCTCGACTCCCCAAAGGAAGCGGCGGGAGCCTCCGCGCTGTCCAAAAAATGGCGCAACCGCATCTATCCCTCTTGAAATCTCAGGTAATTCACTGAGTATTTTATTGTTATCAATCACACTTTTATATAGGATGAGTAACGATTGTGTCTAACTATCTAGAGAGATTCCATGAGGAGTGGTGCTACATAAGTGGAACAGAAAGAGAAGTAGCAGTAAAGGTGGAGCAGTAAATATAACAGCCCGCATGACCCGTTCTTCTCCTTAACACGCCCCCGCAAGTTGATGGTCAGTGACCTTCAACTTGGACCTGAAGTGAAGAAATCTTTGGCGGGGAAGTGGCTTGGTGAGCAAATATGCGATTTGGTCGTTGGTGGAGATGTATCGCACTTGTAGCTGACCGGTAGCCACTCGTTCTCGAACGAAATGGAAGTCAATTTCCATGTGTTTGCTGCGGGAGTGGAACACATGATTAGCAGTGAGATACGTTGCCCCGAGGTTGTCGCACCAAAGCTTCGGCGGGGATGGGAGAGAGACACCAATCTCGTTGAGAAGAGATTGGATCCATATGATCTCGGCTGCGAGTGTGACTAGTGCTTTGTACTCAGCCTCTGTAGAGGAGCGGGCGACAGTGCGTTGCTTGCGGGAGGAACATGATATGAGGTGGGAGCCCAAGTAGACGGCATAACCTGTGGTGGATCGTCGATCAGTCGGACAACTAGCCCAGGCTGCGTCGGAGTAGCCGGATAGAATGGGTGAGGAGTGAGTGCTGAAGAAGAGGCCATGGGTCGTTGTGCCACGGAGATAGCGCAATATCCGTTTTACATCCGACCAGTGATGCTGCAGTGGTTGGTGCATGTGTTGTGCACAGTAGTTGACTGCGTGAGAAATATTTGAGCGTGTGAATTGTAGGTACTGAAGGGCGCCCACAATTTGGCGGTACAGGGACGCATCTTCAAATGGAGTAATATCAGGAGTTGTGGTGGAAACAGCAGCCGGAGTGGAGATGGAATTAGCATTAGACATTTTTGCACGCTTGAGAATCTCTAGAATATATTTCTGTTGGGAAAGCAATAGGCCCTGTGGTGTCCACACTGCTTCAATTCCGAGAAAGAATGAGAGCCGCCCAAGGTCACGAACGGCAAAGTGCTGCTGAAAGTAGTCAAAGACCTCTTGCAGTCTGGTTGGTTGATTCCCTGTGATCAGAATGTCGTCGACATAGACGAGAACGTAAACCCGGAGAGTACCTTTGTTGAGAATGAATAGTGATGTGTCCGTTTTGGAGCCCTTGAACCCGTAGTCTTCCAAAGCTCGGCGGAGACAATGGAACCAGGCCCGATCCTGTTTGAGGCCGTAAAGAGACTTCTTCAGCCGGCAGACATGATGTGGCCGTTGGAGGATCGATAAAACCTGGAGGTTGCTGCATAAAAACTTCGTCAGTGAAGTAGCCATGTAAGAAAGCATTGGCAATATCGAGTTGGCGGATCGGCCAATGATTAGTGATGGCGAGTGAGAAAATGATCCGAAGGGTGGCTGGTTTGAGCACGGGGCTGAATGTGTTGTCGTAATCAATGCCCGGTCTTTGCTGAAAACCGCGCGCAACAAGGCGAGCCTTGAAGCGATCAATGGTGTTGTCGGATTTTGTCTTGATGGGATATAGCCACTTGCAAGAGAGGACATGTGGAGTTGGGGACGGCGGGACGAGATCCCAAGTCTGGTTCCTTAGCAATGCAGTGTGTTCTTCGAGCATGGCGGCTTGCTAGAGAGGGTTTTCGAGGGCCTTACATGTGGATTTTGGTAGCGGGGGTAAGGATGGAGTGGTGGCGGCGAGGAACTGTTTTGGTTTTCTAGTGTCTGTTTGGTTGCGGGTGAGCATGTGGTGAGATGGGGGAGGATGGGTGATAGTGGTGAGTCGGGAAGGGCGAGTAGCAGTAGCAGTGGGAGGTCGACAGGCAGCAGGGTTGACAGTGGGAAGGTTGAGGCGATGAATGTGGGGGTTGGGCCGGGTCTTAGTGGTGCGGGCTTTGGTGTGGTGATTGGTGGGGACGGTGGAGGGTTGGGCGAGTAAAGCGGGCTGGGATGGTGGATTTGCGTGGGAGGAAAGTGGGCTGGGTACAGAGAGTGGTGGAGAATGGGGCTGGGTTGGGGAATGATGGGCCGTGGGTGAGATGGGGGAGCGGGTGGGAGCTGGTGAGGGAGAATATAAATTGGGAGGAGTGGGGAGTGTAATTGTGGTGGGTGGTGAAAGTGTAGCCGTAGGCTGGGTACAGGGGATAGGAGACGTTGTGAGGGATTGGAATTATGGATCCTGAGATGGGAAGCATGTCTCGTCAAAGAGAATGTGTCGAGAGATATGAATTTTGTGAGTGAGGAGATTATAACAACGGTAACCTTTATGGGCAGGGCTATAGCCGAGAAATACACATGGAGATGAACGTGGTTGGAGTTTGTGGCGGGTTAATGGGCGTAACCAAGGATAGCAGAGACAACCGAATATACGGAGAATAGAGTAGTCAGGTGGAGATGAGTGAAGGGCCTCGAGAGGTGTACGGAAGGAAAGCAATGGTGTCGACAGGTGATTGATGAGGTAAACGGAAGTATCGAAGGCATAGGACCAAAATTTGTGAGGAACAGATGTATGGTGCAGAAGAGCGAGGCCAGTCTCGACAATATGGCGGTGTTTACGTTCGGCGCAACCATTTTGTTCAGGAATGTATGGACAGGAGGTGCGGTGTATGATGCCATGAGTTTTGAGATAGGTGCCTAGTTTTTGGTATTCACCTCCCCAATCGGCCTGGAACATATTGATAGGACGATTGAAGAATTTCTCAACTTGGGTTCGGAATTGGATGAAGATGGATAGAAGATTAGAGCAATATCGAGTTGGAAAAATCCATGTAAATTTACTGAAGTGATCATAAAAGAGAATATAGTAGAGATGCCCATCAAAGGAAAGTTCGGGAGAAGGGGCCCAAACATCACTACAAATTAAATCTAACGGACCTTGAGCTACACTACAACCGTGACATAAAGTGACATCACTTTTATTGGAAGCAGACAAAGAATTGGAGTTTAGAACTTGATGGAGAACACGAGAGTGGGGGTGGCCAAGCCGCTGGTGCCAATGAGAGAGAGTGGTAGAGAAAGCCTGTGGTGAGGTCGAAGCGAGAATGGATAGCGGAATGGTGTAGAGGCCATCTTTACTCCGTCCCTGATGTAGGATGGTCTGGGTGCGAGTGTCCTTGATAATGAAAGAGTCATCTAAAAAATGAATGGACAATGGATTGGAGCGAGTCAAGGTATTAATAGAAAGGAGATTATTCGTGGTAGAGGGTACATGTAGATTTTTGGATAAGCGCAAAGGATGAGTACGTAAGGTGGCAAGAGAGGAACCAGAGTGAGTAATGGGAAGTGTGTTACCATTGGCAAAGGAGACTTCTTCAGGACCATTGCATTCGGAATGAAGGGCGAGGTTGTTGAGATCGGATGTGATATGATAGTTGGAGCCAGAATCGAGAAGCCATTCTTGAGAGGTCGGGGTGGTAGCAAGGTGAGCAGAGGGCTGGTTACGAGGGGGTGAGCTGGGGTACGACATTGGCGGGCTAAGTGACCAAAACCATGACATATATAACACTGCACTAGGCTGGAACCTGCAAAAGAGAGAGAGGGATTAGAAATGGGCCTTGGCCCAAGAAGGCTTTGCTGGGGATTGGTGCGGGCTGCTGCTTGTGGGAAAGTGAGGCCTGGTTGGTGTGTAGAAGAGAGTCGGCCATCCCTTTGCCCT